AATATCGTGCAAAGTTCATTTATTTCACTAATGCAACTTAAAAGGTGAAACTAATATATGAGATAGACTCATTACATGCAAAGCAAGATAATTAAAGCCGTGATTTGTCATAATTGTGATGATTATGGCTTACAACTCATGAAAACCCCAAGAACCCCAAATCCACAACCTCAAAAAAGTAGATTATTGCATGCAATCAATAAAACAAGGATTGTACATAGAACAATATCGGACCTCTGAAAAGTACAAGCATGCATATGTACTCAGTACTTGGTTTGGGCCCCTTTTGCAGCACTTACTGCAATTACTTTTGCACGATATTCTAATTATTCGAGTTTCACCTGTATAACGAGCTACAGCTCGCGGTATAACAAGAGCGCCGCAGCCGGGACGGTTCCTGACAATGCTGTTGAGATCCACCCAGCTGTGTGAGTGACAGCGGGCTTGGCCTATCTAGAGGCAGAGCCAGCTGTGCCCGCCCCATCCCCCGTCCATTCCTCCAGTCAGTGCTGGAGGATCGGAGCGGGGGAAACCCTGCGGGGAGCCGTGACTGACAGTCACCTCTCTCTGCAGGGAATGATCAAGAAGTGAGCGAGTGATGGTATGTGTCCGCTCACTTCCCAATCTATTAAGTCGACATGTGACAGTTTCATTGTCACACGTCGGCTCGAACTATGAGGATGAGTGGCGATCCCTCACCTCATAGTTCTCCTTTAGGCCCCATTCACACTTAGCGACATACCTTTTGCAGCGGATCCGCGCGGCCGGGATAGCGCGACTTTCGGGGAGACGTTCCAGCGACGGTAGCGCGACCTTCTCCGTCGGGCTCCATTAGAAAAAAGCAAAATCCGCCGAAAAAAGGGTCCTGTAGAAGCGACTTGCGACCGCGACATGGAGCTAAGACAGCTCCATTGATAGCATTAGCCGGCGACTTCTCGCGATATCGCTTAGTGTGAATGGGGCCTTAAGGTTCTGCAGAACCAGATGACACTTTGCATAGATGTCTTTGGGAGATCACTGACCTCTAAGCAGATAGGGACAAGTCAGCAAGGCCTTAATATGCTCAGTATAGGATTATAAAGAGATTAGAGCAATGGAGGAGAGGGACTGTAATTCACTCCAATAGCCTCCGGCCGCCTCCACTGAACACTACTAATGGAACCTATATGTCATAAGGTAACAAAGTGTGCAAAGAGCCAAAATTATTTTTCTTAGTTATCGATATGGAGGAGGAAAGGTTAGAACCCCTGAAGCGTTTTAATAACAGTCACTGAGACTGAGCAATTTCAAGTTGTCACCAGAACTACATAACAGGGATAATCTTGCAATATATATTTTGGCTATACAAACACTCTAACATTCTACTGAAAACTCCTCCCACTGGCAAATACAAAGAATGTCCAGGCACCCACTTACCTGCTTGGGGAAACCATAGGAATATTTTTTGTTCATTTATTTAGCCAGACACTGCAATATCTGGCTAATAGAGGCAATCAGTAATGACATAATTACCTCTTTTCACAGACCTGACCTGTATGGGAGTGACACATTGGGTGAATCAAAGTTAGTATATAAAAGATGGGGGCACTTTTAAAAAAAAGTACTTACCAAGATCCGAAGGGCTAATGTTCCCAAGGTTCCACTAATGTTTACATCCAGTGCCACAATGCTCCCTCTGCTGGCCGCACCTGCACATTACAGCCGCATAGACTTCTATGGGGCCATGTCCCGGTCAGTTGATGAACATGGCCAGGAGAGGGAGACTTGCAGAACTGGATGTCAACAAACAGCGGAGCAGTGGCCCTGGGATCTTGGTAAGTAAAGATCTGGGGACGTCAGGGGAGGGGAACAACAAGAATAAGTGCACTTTGTCTAAAACAAAAATCACTTATTCTATAACAGAAGGGGTGCAGCCTTGATAAAGGCAGTGACTAGGGCTTTTGCCAGGCCATTATACCCTAAAGTGCAGCACAATCCCAACCCCCCCAAAGGCACTAACAATTCTGTCTATTAAGTTACAGCTGTAATTAACAGCTCTCATTGAAACGTGAAAAGAGGTGTTTATGCAATTACAGGTCAGCAATGTGGAACTGGACAGTGCTTTGCCAATGTAATGGTGTCCTTCTCCCACTGATCACCAATGTAATGACATCCTTCTCCCACTGATCACCAATGTAATGACATCCTTCTACCACTGACCACCAATGTAATGACATCCTTCTCCCCCTGACCACCAATGTAATGACATCCTTCTCCCACTGACCACCAATGTAATGGCATCCTTCTCCCACTGACCACCAATGTAATGGCGTCCTTCTCCCACTGACCACCAATGTAATGGCGTCCTTCTCCCACTGACCACCAATGTAATGGCGTCCTTCTCCCACTGACCACCAATGTAATGGCGTCCTTCTCCCACTGATCACCAATGTAATGGCGTCCTTCTTAGGCTTGTCCTCATATTATATAGTTCTAATAAATCTAAAATATTTACAACCAGATTGCATATGTGTATAGCCATCTTTACATTTACCAAATACCTTTAATAGAACAAACTAGATCTAAAGCCAAAAAACTTTTTCATGTACTTTTAAATAAAATATGAAATGGTTAAAACCCCCAACAGGTTGTTTTTTTTGTTTTGCTGTCCACGTCCCATTGAAGAGATTTGTATTCTCTTTAAGTCTCGAGACACAACAGGAAATGAGTAGAAGTCTACCCAAAGTAAGGGACAGCGGTCAGTAAAATAAGTGTCCCCATTGGAAGATTTCTCATCTATTCCTGTTCTGGTGACACTTTAAAATAAACAGACAGAAATAAAAATCTGCCAGAGCTTCTGCACTTTAATCTCTTCTTGCAGGTCATGTGTCAGGGCAGTCAGGGGTAGACAGACAGTGACCATGTTCAGTGACTTCTGATTCTCCAACATTAAAAGCTTCCAAAAAGCCAAAACCGATGTGAGCTCTGTACTAAAACAGGAAGAGAAACTACAGACCACAATGAATGTTCTTCTCTGCCAGTATGGACACTTTCCCCTCTAAATGAAAGGACTAGGAGCAGGAAGAGGTATGAATCATGCCATTTATCTTATGCCAAATGATCGGTGGCAGACAAGGAGATTCGGAGCTCTGCCAGGGAGAGCTGACAGATTATTTCAGCAACAGTACTGAAAGAAAATTATTTACCTGAAATATTTACTGACCTTGAGAGTCTACACGCCTGAGTGCTGCCTAACTCACCTCTCAAAACTTGATGGAAATCAGAACGTATTGGGCTCATATTATGAATTACTGAAATGAATGGCATCACAGCGCATCTCCCGCACAAGGATTTGTCAGGCCGAAACCAAAAATGACTTTCTGCAGCCCCAGCACTCAATACAGAATGATGTAGAGCACCTGTCCCTCCCGGGGGTCGGGTCCTTTTACGGCCGTGCATGCCGTATGAACATGTACGCCCGTCTGAATGAGCTCTTAAGCCAGAAACATAGCGGACACCATGTGCAGATTACAAACAGGGTTTTCCAAACATATCACATATTCACACATTACCCCAAATGTGTGCCGTGCCTATTCAGGGTAAAGAAGGGAGCCGCCAGTGTTCACATTTTAGGCTCTGCCCACCCACTGGACCCCCCTCCAAAAACAAAACAGAACTCCTTAGTATAGGGGAGCGTTTTACTCTCTCCCCTAGAGCCCCGAGTATGTGCTTAGAGGCCAATGAAAACT